AAGTCACTCATACTTAAATGATTCATTGAAAGTAGGCGTGCTTTTTTTTTTTTTTTTTAAAGGGGAGCTAAAAATTATTTTGCTATTTTTCAACTAATTTGATTCTATTTTATGAGCTTTGTGTCGTTGACAGAACTTGGAACTTAGTGCTTCATTCTGCTTCCTACTGAATCTGAAGAAGGTGGGAAGGCTCTAAAAAGTTCCTCCAAACTCACATTTCTCTGCCAATGGATGTAGAGGGAGGATAGCTGGGCAAGGGGACCAGAGGCGAGACCTGTTTGAGCTACCTTGGCATTGAGCACCTGGGGGTGGTCCCAGTGGGATTTGTTCTGGGAAATAGGGAAGTGCTTTCTGGGCCGAAACAAAAACAAAAACGGAGTTGATATTAGAAAATCATCTTAAACAAAATAATACACAGTACACAAAAGAAGATAATTACTTTGATTTGATTCCTTCCCAAGTTGGTCAGCCTCAAGGCCAGTTGGGGATTTTCTCCACATCTAGACTAGCTTTCTGAGCAGAGTTCTTCTGAGCCCACTAAATTGGTGGGCTAGTTAGTGGGTGCCTAGATTTCAGAGGCTAGTGACAGGCCTGAGTAGTTGGGGGATGAGTTGGCTCAATCATCCTTCAGCTGGGAGATAAGAAATTTGAGGTATATCTTAAGGGAACCTGGAGGATTGAAGGTGCTGTATTGGCATACCGTGATCAGCTGGGCACACGACCAAAGACTCCTTAGAAGGTAAACAATGAAAGAGGTGAGCATGAGTTGGTGCTTCATGCTATGAAGGAGGAGTACATAGTGCTCTGAGGACCTATAACCCTAGAGGCTCTCATCGGACTAGACCTGTTTGGATGGTCTAGATTGGTAGGATTAAAGGTGGCTAATGTGACTTTCACAACGTCTTGCATTGTTCTGTATTCTTGGGGTAGGGTAGAGAGGAGGATGTAAATGAGAGAGGTAATGGTTCCAGGTGTTTGGTGGTTGATTTCTTTTGGAGGGATGGGTCAAAGAAATGTCTTGTTTTAGGCAAGGACATAATGGTACAGCAGGAAACAATGCATTGTCTAGAAATTGGTGACCCCCCCCAAAGGGGCAGATTAGTATCTTGAGCTTTTACTACATTTCTTTTCCCATCTACACTCTTCCAAATTTGCATTATGGCTTAGGTGGAGGACCCTTAGTTTGATGGGGTGTGTAAGAGTGGCCTCCTTCTGGTGAAGGATACTGTGGATTGCTGCTCAGGAGGGCTGACGTTGGTCAGCTGCGAGATTCTGTGGTGCAGGGCTATCTGACAGTCACTTGGTGGCATCTGATGATGTCAGGAAAGAGATCTTTTGGCCCATTCAGGGAACCAGTTTACTCCTGTCTTTCATCTTTGTGGCACACAGCATTTACTTTGCCATTCTTGGCTGGCAATGGCCCAGGCCGTCAGTTAACCACAGAGTGGAAATCTGGAAAGAGAAGCGCTCAGCTGGTGGCGGATTTCTAGGCATTGCATTGATTTTCAGTGTCTTGCTCTTTGGTGGGCAGGAAGGACTTGGGGCAGAGTATTTTGTGCCCTACGAGCTCGAAGGCCACCTTGGTGACTGGATGCTCCCAGACTCTTTGCCCTTAGGGGTGTGGCTGCATAGGTAGGAGGGCTCCGATCTGAGACCGGACAACTCCAGTAATTCATCTGGAGGCAGGGGTGCTGGGTCACGCTGTACAGGGACTGAGGCAGGAGGGTCTGCTTTCACTGCCCTGTTAGCCTTCTATATTTATGTGTTTAGAGTAAAACAAGTTAAGTGATGTTTCTCCTAGTCTGATGTAGGGAGTGGCAAACACTAAGAATGCACAACGGCCCCCAGAGCCCAGAACCTTGCCTCCTGCCTGGAGGATGCCGAGTTATTGACCTTAAGGAGATTGTTCTGGAGTTCCTGAAGCCTCTGAGTGAGAGATGCTTTTTTCCAAGTGGGTAGGAGTCTGGGCGTCAGAATACCCTGAACAATGCCTGGGCCTTCAAATCAGAGATTCTGATTTAATGAGTTGGAGGCTCGGGAATTTTTTTTTTTAAATCTTGGTGATTCTGTCAGCCAGATTTGGGAGCCTGCCCACCAGTGACAGATCCAAGAACCTCTTCCCACTCTTGAGGTGAATGTTGCCTCCTTGTTTGCTCCTCTTGGCCTCAAACCCCGAGCAACACTAACTGTGCCCACATAGTTGGTCTTCACTCCTCTTTATGTCCCTTCCCAAAATGTGTCTTTCGGGGTGCTGCCCCCTGGCTTTGCTTCAGCCTACATTGGGGCTGGTGGCTCATCCCTATGCCATCCCTGAAGAACGGGAGAGCCTCACCTGGGGATTCTGATTGGCAGATATTCTGGGACATTTTTTCATAGAACTTCCTGCTTGAGGCTTGACTACATAGTAGATTCTGGCCATAGAAATCCAGGCCCTGAGGTACATCCAGGATGGTCTCATGACTGGCACAGGACAGAAAAAACTATCAGCTGTCTTCTTAGAACCATGATGGAAGTATTAAAAATACGAGAAGTGTCAGTATTTCTACTTCCACGTTTCTTGGGCCCGGCAGACTCTGGGATAGCATTGGTGGCCCTGAGGGAGGTCTAGGCGGGCATTGCCAGGAATCAGTGCTGATATGGTGGCACCCTTGATATGGGCACTTGGCAAGATAAATGTCCAAGAGTGTACATGACCTCTCAGCAGATGTTGGGTCAGGTGGCAGGGGCTTTTTTTTTTTTTTTTTTTTTTTTTTTAAGATTTATTTACTTATTTTAGAAAGAGTGTGAGCAAGGTGGAGGGTGCTGGGGAGGAGGGAGGAGAGAGAAGGTCAAGCAGACTCCTCACGGAGCATGGAGCCTGCCGTGGGGCTTGATCTCACAATCTCGAGACCATGACCTGAGCTGAAACCAAGAGTTGAACACTTAACTGGCTGAGTCAGCCCAGTGCCGCCAGGTGGCAGGGTGACTTTTACCACTGCCAGGGTGACTTTTACCACCGGCAAGGTGACACGAAATGTGGATGAGACCAAATTGGAGGGGCTGTTCACTCCTTGCTATGCCCATGTTGCCCCATGGCCTGTAATTCCTACCTTCTCCTCTGTTCTCCCCCTGCCTGCTGCTCCACTCCCCTCCCTGCTTTAGGATGTCTTCATCGTCTGTCCTTGCTGGGAAGTGTCCGTTCCCCTCCGCTGCACCGGGAGCCCCTGCTCCGTGCTCCTGGAACACCAGTGCCTTCCCAGATCTTTAGGGTTACCCGTCATGTTAGAACTCTTTGAGTGTCGGATCTTGACAGAGCAGCTTAAGGTCAGGGACTGGATCTGCTTCATTTCTGTGTTTCCATCACCTTGCACACTGCCTGGCATGTAACTGGGTTCAGTAAATATCTGCTGAGTGGTCGGTGAATCCATGCATTCTTTGAGGGGCTGATAGAAATAACTCCTACCGAGATCTAGATCTTGTGGTTAAACATTGTTTATTATAGTCTCTCACCTCCATAGAAGCTTATTTGTAGCCTTGCATTCAAAATGCATATTAAATAACATTTTTCTAGCATATAAAGAATATTTCAGACACTTTGGGACATTAACTGAGCACTTTTGAAGGAATAGATGCATGGTATTTATGAGCTTTTTTTTTTTTTACTTAAAGGAGAAACTTTTTTTTTTTTAAGATTTTATTTATTTGAGAGAGAGCACTGGAGAAAGAGAGAGAGCAAGCCCATGTGGGAGGCAGAGGGAGAGGAGAAGCAGGCTCTCCATTGAGCAGGGAGCCCAATGCAGGGCTCGATCCCAGGACCCTGGGATCATGACCTGAGTCTAGGGCAGATGCTTAATCGACTGAGCCACCCAGGCACCCAAGGATCAACATTCTTGAGAACGTCACATTAGTAAATGAACCCTTAGGGAACCTGTTGGAAATTACCTTCATTTGTCAAAGAATAGAAGAGTATGGCAAGCCTTTCAGTAGAGTGGCTTGGGTACTTCAACTCTATTTCCTTGATTTTAATATTAGCTTTGAAAGACCCATACATACACACCTGTGTATATAAAATATTTTTTTTGTTTTACAATATAAGATTACCATGTCGTGGGGCAGAGTGGAAGAGTCCTGGATTGGCAGTCAAGAGACCTAGGTTCTAGAATTAGCTCTGCTTCTAACTGTGGGAGTAGGCAAGTCAGTTTCCTGCTTATACTTTTATAACATGGACGTGTTGTACTTGTTCAGAGATTTCACATGCCTGCCAGAGTGGGGGTACTAACTTAAGTTGCTGATGTGCTATACCTTTTTTTTTTTTTTTCCTTTTGGAACTCTGCCCCTTTTTCTTTTATGTTCCCACTTTTGTTAGGTAGAGAGAATTATTTCTGTAACACACACACACACACACCCCACCAAAAAACCCAACAATACAAGGGCAATGATAACCATAGCTCTCTCTGTGGTGAGATATTAGGGAGTGGTGGGGACTGTGGCATTCTGGAATAGCCAAGCCTGCCCATGAAGGGCAGCTACTTAGCATAGCTGATCATTTTTAGACATATGTGTGGGCCATGTTGACTGATTTTGTTGTTGTTTTAAGAGAACTTACAAGTCTGGGTTTTTATGTGACCTCTCTGATTTTTTAAAGTTTTGGCTCAAATTTTCTAAACCTATCCTGCAGATCGATTGTAATACTGCTGTAGGCTAGATGTAACCCACTGGGCTTTCAGTTTGCGATCCCTATTATAGATGATCTCTGACGCTTCTTTCTGACCAAGGTCCACTGATTCTAATGGGGACCATTTCAACTGGTGAACTAAAGATTCTTGTTCTAGTTGGGGAAGTCAGGGTGAGTAGGGAGTGGGGCTGGAAGAGGAGGATGGGGGCTGCAGCCTAAACAGGCTGCCTGCTGATTGGCGTTTTGGCTGGCCTCCTTGGGGAGAGGCCGCAGAGTGCCTGATTCACACCACATGTCTTGTATGTTTGTCATTGCAGGAGCTGGCATTTGTTGGAAGAGTTTGTGAAACCTTCTCTCTGCCCAGAGCTCAAGACCAATGCATCCCACCACCTTAAACCACTGGTAAATACATGCTTTGGGTTTTTTTTCTTTAGCTTTTCTTTTCTTTATTTCTTTCCTTCCTTCCATCTATCTATCCATTCTTCCTTCCTTCGTTCCTTCCTTCGTTCCTTCCTTCCTTCATGAGAGAGAGTGAGTGCAAGCATATGCAGAAGCAGGGGAGGGGCAGAAGGAGAGGGAGCAAAAAATCTTAAGCAGACTCCACGTGTAGTGTGGAGCCTGACACGGGGCTCGGTCCCATGACCCTGAGATCACGACCTGAACGGAAATCAAGAGTTGAATATTTAACTGACTGAGCCCCCCAGGTGCCTCTGTTTTATTTCTTCTGCTGTAACAAAAGGAAATATTTTTGGTGGAGTGTAGAATGCGATTTTCAGAGAACCACACTGTCCATACTGTTCTGGGAGGAAGAACACTGGGCTGGGCCGAGGCATATCTGGGTTCTGGTACTTACTTGGTTCTGCCACTTTTACTGTGGGAGATCAGGTGAATTGTTTGACCTCTCTGGGCCCCAGACAGAGAAATGAATCCTGCCCTGCCAAAAGAGATTATATATACCTGAGAATGCTTCATACAGAATAAAGTGCTGGACAACTATAAAGTAATCCTGTTTAGCTTTCACATGTGGAGCTGGGTAGTTCTAAGCTCACAGATTAAAATGTGAACACACGTATATTGCAAACACAGATTTTAAATGCCTGTTTTCTGAGTCTTCCAGAGTGGTCCTTTAAGCCCTTTGCATTTTTCTTTTCTCCCCCTTTCTACCACGGCTGCAGCTGCCTTTTTCTTGAAATGTTGAATTAACTACATTTCCCAATTACCTTCATTTTTATTTGAGATCAGATCATTTCCGTGAACAAATGTTCTTTTTTCCAAAAGAAACTTAATTGCTCATCACAGCGGGTAAGCATCTCGCTTCTGCGGCAGTGGAAAGGGGCAGAGATCTGTCCTTTATAGCAGTGTGTCAGTGCTGAACCCAGGACACTCTGGGGCATGGTGTCTAGTGATGTTGAAGGTCTCGCGTGAACTCCTTGAGGGGAAGGACCACCATGAGCCAAGGATGCAGTAGGACCTGTGTGTCTGGATTCCCACCACTCTTTGTTGAGAAGAGCTGTTTGTTTGCTGACTGGCTGGTCAGCTGTCACATTAAGGACCAGGTGCTCGTATGACCCAGGGAGACAAGTCCCAGTGGCATGGCCATGTGGGGAGTGGCTGAGTGCTGGAGGTTGGTGTAGGAAGGACAGGCAGTTTGGACAAGCAGGCAGGCCGGCCCAGGGTTAGAGTCCCAACTCAGGTGTGGGAGGCTGACCAGACACAGCAGTGTCTAAAGGAATACCATGGACATTCATGGTCCCACAACCAGAGTCCCATTTGGTGGGAAAGAAGAGCTCCGTGGTGGAGGTCCTCAGAGAAGCAGATGGTCTCAGGTGGGTGGGACACTACCCATTCAAATACATATTAATGCTTACTAAGTGCCAAGGTGTTGTTGCTCTGAGCATTGGAGATTCTGAGGTCTAAAGGCAGACTGTGTCACGTGTTTGGAGCTTAGAGTTAAGTAGGGTGGCAAATAATGTGAGCTCCATGAGGTCAAAGATCTTTGCTTTCATGTTCACTGCTATCCCCATTCCTTAGAAGAGCGCCTCACATGCAAACATGATGGGTGCGCCCTAAAAATTATTTTAGGAACAAAGTAAATCACTAAATAATAATTTCGGGTAGTAATAAGTGCCATGGGGGAGGGGCAGAATGAGGGGCTGGAGGGACTGCTTTTGAAAGAGTGGCCTGAGAAGATTTCTGTGCCTGAGAGAGAGAGGGGTAGAAATTCTGTACAGAGATCAGAATGGGGTGAAGGAATCTTAGGGGAAGTGTGGAGGCAGAGGGAACAGCAAGCAGAAAGAAAAGCCTTTGACGTCAGCTGAGCGCAGTGTGATGGAGGAACAGGAGGGCAACCAGTTTGGCTGGCCTTGAGCTGGGAGGTAGGTATGGGGGCAGTGATATGAAATGAGGTCAGTGGCACGTGGGAGCCAGATCTTGGATGCCATGATAAGAAGAGTGTGATTGGACACCACTGGAGAGTTGGAGCAGAACAGCAATCATCTTTGTACTTCACAATTATTTCTCTGGGTCTTGAGTAGAGAATAGATTCTGGGGGCAAGAGTAGAATCAGTATAACCTGAAGGGGTCCAAGCAGGAGATACAGGGGCGACTTGGATTAGGGTGGGGGTTCTAGAATGATGTGAGCTGGTCAAGCTCAGGATATATTTTGAAGGTCATGCCTTCTGGATTGAGTGTGGGCAGAAAGAGTCTAGTGTTTTTGGTTGGGTGAATGATGTTGCTGTTTACTGAGATGAGGAACAGAGAGAGGGATGTGTGGTGGGGGACCCTGAGGGTTCAGTTTGAACATGTTAAATTTGAGGTGTGTATTTTGTATTTTCCTGGAGATCTAGAGTTGGCTGAGCCTGGAGGTGGTATCTTTGAGAGTCATCAGCACGTAGATGGTATTTAAAAGCTATGAGACTGAGATTACTTAGGTAGAGAAAGGAGGACTAAGTCTGACTTGGACAGAGAAAGAGGCAAAGGGTGGATTTTCCAGATAAAATCCCTAAGAAATGAATGAAGACACAGTGTGCTAATGAACATGGTATGATTTCATGTCACAAGAATATAAATTATTCAAATGAAATAATGACATAAAAGTAGTAAAACCTCATCTTATATAAAAAAAACTTGTAATAACCAAATTAAGAGAATTAGTTTTAGAATTTCATAATTTTAAATCAGGTCGGCTGAGTGAATTATAAACTGCATTTATGCAATTGGCACATGGCTGTGCCTTTGGCTGGCAAGCAGAAGGTTCCAGCATCTTTTGCCATTAATAGTCTGTAAACTACACTGTTCTTTATCTGTACTGGAACTTCTGCAAGGCATTTTGATGACTAAGTGTAATTCACTGTTAATACATTCAGGTTTTTCATCCTAAAATCGTACCATCCAAAAGTTCATTATTTTATTTTATTTTTTTTTAGAGAGGGAGGGCCTGCAGAGGAGGGGAGAGAAAGAGTATCTTAAACAGTTGGAGCTCAATGTGGGGCTTGATCTCACAACCCTGAGATCATGACCTGAGCCGACATCAAGAGTCGGACACTTAACTGACTGAGCCACCCAAGTGCCCCAGAAGCTCATTAAATGAAGGCTCTCTAAAGTGACAGTGCATCAAAGCCATTAGTTGTGTAATCAAAGTTAGCTATGATCACGTTCTATGAAAAAGGCCAAACGCCTTTTTTTGGTTTGTAGAACCACAATGTAGGAAATATTTAGAACATCTCTGAAATAATCAAGGATAAATGTTATAAAAGGCAGCAAAAATAGTTGTGGAAGAGAGATGCATCTCAGGGAGCACCCGTATCCATCAACTGCCCTCGACCAACAGGAGGAAATCTGTTCTGAATCCTACACATTTTTATTTGTTTGTGGGCTTTGGGCACAAAATGCAGCCACTCCGTATTGGTTTTGTCCCTTTCTAAGGGAAATCGCCTCATTGAGCTACCTGCACATTCTCATTGAGTTCCTCTATTTCCATTTTTGCGCTACGTGGTGAGTTTCTTCAGTCTTGTTATCTCCAGGCTCCCTGGACATTTTTGCTGCCTTCCTGAAGTCGCCACTCAAAGTTGGCCGGCCACCTCTCTGTCCCCCTAGACTTCATCTCTGACTGCCCTCGAGAGCCTCCCAGCTGAGCCCTCCCCAGAGGCTTTTCAGGATCTTTTCAGAATCCCTTCTTTGAGGACACTGTCACCCCTTCCCCAGGCCTGGTCTTTTCATTCCTTTTGTGGACATGACAAGAGGAAACCTGTGCAGCTGTTGAGGGCAGTGTGATAAGCAACCTTCTGGAATGTGCTGTTTCAAATCACTTGGGCAATGGGCATCCCTAACTTGCATTTTTGTGTATTTCCAGGCCCTCGTATTTCACTGAAAATATTCTCAGTGGGACTTCTGGGGCATCTACTATGCACTGATTACATAACATTCTCTATCCATAACCAGTGGTTTATGGCAAAGTGGAGGTTTCAGTGGAATGGTATTTGTGATGATTGACACCAACCTGGGTTTAAATTTGTCTTTTATCATAGAGTAGAACTTAAATATGCTTAAAAAGAATGAAATTTACTGATAACCAGCAGAGGAGGATTTCTCCTCTCTGATTCCTTCTTACTAAGTGCTTTTAGGGATTAAAAAAACTGAAACAAAACAAAACTGGTACCTTCTCATGTCCCCAGAGACTGAGTGGTCAGGCATTAAAAAAAAGTGGTGGTATTCTCCTTAAGTTGAAAAGCGAAACAGTGCCTCAGTGCTGGTACACATGTAGACCGTCTCAGGAGAAGATGCTAGAGAGGAGTAGCATTTTGAGAAGGGCGATGGTATAGGAAGGATGCTTACATTCCATTCTATACCCTTTCATACTTTAGGGGGGAAAAAAAAAAGGTCCAAAGTGGAGTGACTTGGGTTAAGGCCCATGTCCGCAAACCAAGAATTAATACCTAGCCTACCTCTGTAACCTTCAGCAGTCAATCTGGAATTACCTGGTCAGCACTAGTGAGGAGGGAATCTGCCTGATAGGAACCACCCCACCCACCCCTCCCGCCTTCCCCCAAAGGAAGGTGACCTTGCCTGGGACAGTCCACTTTTTGCTAGAATAACTTCTTTGCCCCCTCCTTCTGCCTTAAAAAGTCTTCCATTTTGTATAGCTCCTCAGAGCTCCTTTCTACTAGATGGGAGGCCACCCAATTCGTGACTCAGTGGATAAAACCAGTAAGATCTTTGAATATACTCCGTTGTTTTGTTTTTTAACAACTTCTAATTTCTTTTTGTGTCATGTTTATGTGTTACCTTTAAAAAGCATGATAAGTATCCCTTTTCGCTCTTAATACATGATCTAGAAATAGAAAGCTTCAAGTTCTTCATTACTTGGTTCTCGGAGTGCTCCTGCTGTGCATTTTGATGGAAGA